CTCTGCCCTGGAGGGTTACTTCATTTAGAGATTAAAGTGTATATTAATGCATTTTCATTAAATGTCTGTTAACATTTGTCATTTTGTATTGTTCATGGAGTTATCAGCAGAAGAATGTGAAACTAAAATCTACAAGTGTCACTGCATTTATGACAGATTTGTTACAGTGCTGGAGGCCTTTTGGCCTATCATGTCTGTGCCAGCTCTCCTACTAAGCCTCTCATCCAGTATCATTTTCCTGCCTTTTCCCTCATCCCTGCCTTTTCAACCCTTCATAGAATCATAGAATCTGTACTATGTAGAAGCAGGCCATTGAGCCCATCGAGTCCACATTGATCCTCTGCAGAGCACACCACCCAGACCCTGTACTTCCCATGGCCAATCCCATGACTTAGCCTGCACACTATGGGCGATTTCGCATGGCCAAGCCACCTAACCTGCACACCTTTGGACTGTGGGAGGAAACCCACACAGACACGGGAGCAATGTGCAAACTCCACACAGACAGTCGCCAAAGGTGGAATCTAACCTAGGCCTCTGATGCTGCAAGGCAGCAGTGCTAACCACTGAGCCACCGTGCTGCACTTTTCTTCCTTTACAAATAATCCTCTAATTCCTTTTGAACGCATCAAGCGATCCTACCTTCACCACACTCTCAGGCAGTGCATTCCAGACCAATCCCACGTGTGGTTTGAAATATTTTCTTCACATTTTTCATTCTTTTATGAATAGTTTGAGGTCTGCGCCCTCTCGTTCTCAAGCTTTTCACAAGTCAGGACATTTCCTTCAAATTTGCTCTATCCAGAACTCTTTCAATCTAGAGACTTTTCAAGGCTGAAATAGACAGATTTTTAATTAGTAAGGGAATCAAGAGTTAAGAGGAAAAAGACAGGAAAGTGGAGGATTATCAGATCAGCCATAATCCCATTGAGGTGGAGCAGGCTCGATGGGGTTAATGGTGTACTTCTGCTCCTACATGTTATGGTCTTTTTTCCAAGGAGAACAGTCTTAGCTTCTCCAATCTACCCGCATAATTGAAATTCCTCAACATTGGTACTCTTCTCGCAAACTTCTACACTCTCACAATGCCTTCATATCCTTCCTACAGTGCGGCAACCAGACCTGGATGCAAACACCAGCTGAGGCCAATGTAGTGTCTTATATAAATTCAGTACAATCTTCTGCTCTTGTACTTTATGTTACTATCAATAAAGTCTAGGAAACTGTTCGCTTTGTTAACTTGTCTCTTAATTAATATGGCAGGAGAAATTATGTACATATACAGCCAAGTCCCTCTGCTCCTGGCACCATCCGTGTCTAAGGGACACAGAAAAATTATTGCCAATATCTCTGCAATTTCTATTCTCACTTTCCTCAATACCCTTGGAGATATCTCACTTGATCCAAGTGCCTTGTTATCTCTGAGAATGAACAGCCTATCCAATACTACCTCTTCACCAATGTTAACTCCTTTGAGCAACTCAATTTCTTCCTCTTTTACCATGACTTGGGTTGTATCTTCCTTCTTAGTAGAAAAAGTTGCCAATTCATGAATACTTCAGCTACGCCCTCTGCCTTCATTTGTAAATCTGTTTTTGTTCCAGAATCAATCCCGCTTTCTTTCTACTATCACCCTTCTACTATTTATATGTCTATGGGAGACATTAGAATTCTCCTTCATGCACCGGTCATTAGCAATTTTCTTCTTCACAATTTCTATCTTTTTTGCAGTTAGGGAACTTAGGTCTTGTTTGCTCTGTCTTTCCCTTTCAAAGGAATACATCTTGGACTACGCCTGAACCATTTCCCCCTTGAAGGTATCAATTGTTCAGTCACCATTTTTCCTGCCAACCTTTGACTCCAAATTGTTTGACTCAGGTTCACACTTCGCTCATTGCAATTGGCTTCTCCAGATAATTCTTCTCACTGTGGATTGTATGATATCCTTTTCTGTAGGAAGCCTTAAACCTAACAATATCGTGATCACGATACTTTAAACATTCTTCCCCACTGACATGATTGGGTTGTGACACCTGGTTTCTAAGAAGCAGTGCTTCATTTCTCATTGGGCAGGAAACATACTGCAGAAAATTCATCTGAACCTACTCTAGGAATTCTTGCCCCTCTCTCTCCTTTACACTAGTACTACCCCAGTCAGATAATTAAAGTCTCCCATTACAATTATTCTATAATCCTTGCATCTATGTAATATCCTTGCAAATTTGTACTTCTCCATACTTCCCACTAGCCAGAGGCAAAAACTACAAGAAATTTAATAGCACCATTTTTATTTGCTACCTCAAGCAAAATTGATTCTCTCCTTCACTCCTCTTAGACATCCTCTGTCTTCAACATTCCAATGCTGCTTTTAGAAGGGTGACACTTCAATTATGCTCCCTTCCTTTATGAACATCTTGCATCCAGGAATATTTAACAGCCAGTCCTGCTTTTTTGTCAGTTGGATCTCTATTATTATCATCATCCACATCGTTATATTTCCACTTGGGAATCTGAACATGGAAGTCACCCATCTTAAAATTTTTTAATCAGCCTATTCAGAATTACAGCACTCCAGGATTTGAACCTGGCTGGGAGATGAAGACACTACCACTGTGTCACAACAGCCCCTACCACCAATCCTATTTATTATGTTTCTTGCACACTCACATGCACAATAACCCAACTTTAAAATTCATTACTTTCATCCTGACCCCATCAATTAATTTATTAATCTCAATTCTAGTGTTATCTATCTCTCCCAGTATTCTGTACACCCAGGTATTTCTCTTTGCCATTATCTCTTCATTCCCTTTGCCATTATCTCTTCATTCCCACACCCAAGTTATTGATTGGTTGACTTATTGTTGTCACATGTAGTGAAATATAGTGGAAAGCATTGTTTTGCATGCTATACAGACAGACGTTCTTGATGTAGTTTTAGCCACTGACTAGTGACAAGTATGAAGAACAAAAAATTTGCAAAGATATTATGTGGATGCAAAGATTATCAATTAAGTGTAATGGGAGATTTTAATTCTCTGACTGGGATAGTAATAATGTAAAGTACAGAGAATGGCAAGAATTCCTAGAATGGGTTCAGGTGAATATTCTGCGGTATGTTTCCAGCCTAATGAGAAGTGAAGCACTGCTACTTGGAAACCAGGTGTCAGAAATTGATAGTCTCAGTAGGGAAGAACATTTGAGGGACAGTTAGTTTAAACACTTTCCAACAGCACTAGCAAAACAGCTTGCACAGTTACAGTTCTATTCAGGTCTAAACCGCACAGCCTCTACTGCTGCCATCTTCCAGAGTCAGGCAAAATGTCTCAAAAATTAAAAGCTCTATCACCTGCACTTTCCATCTTCCCCTTTTTCAATACTCACTTGCAGGAAGCACTGGAAATAATTTCAAAATTATGACTTTTGAGGTCACACTTTCTAATTTTCTTAGTTTCCTTAATTCTGGCTGCACAATCACATCTTTTTTGCTATCCATGTCATTTATTCCAATGTGGATCATGGCTGCTGGCTCCTTAGGGGTGATCTGCAGCTAGCGATATTCTGGGCCCTGGCACCAGGGAGGCAATATATCATCTTGGACTCACATCTTCTGCTACAAAAACATCTGTGTCCCCATCAAGTTATCTACCACCATGGCTCTTCCGGTTGTCATCATACCCATGTAGCCTAGGCACCACAGTGTCATAGACTCAATGTAGGCTCTACTCCTTAGATGAACTTTTGTGCTTATCAACATTTGGAACTGAACAGTGGTTGGACAGCAGCAGATACCTGTACTCTCTTTTCATTTTTGACTGCTTAGTCACCCGTTCCTTTTCTTGTAATTTCCAAAGTTGCAGGGTGGCATCATCCACAAACAGGCTACCCACAAAGTTCAGAGATGCACAGCAATAATGCCAGGTACTACACAAAAACATGGAGCTAAAATCACCATAACTGGCACAGGATGTGGATTCTCAGAGTTGAAGCATCCTCCTCATTCCTTTATTTGTCAGTTAACCTTACCAATTTTAAGCTTTACAACTATTAATAAATTCAGACTAGTATTGTAAACTGGTTACAAAAATTAAATCATCTCTTTCCCCTTGCAACGAATATCCACTTGTATCTACATTGTTCCTGCAGTCCTTATGTCTCATTGTAGTTTCCAGATTGCAAGTCCTTTACTGACCATGTCGTTTCAAAACCCTAGCTTTATTTTAGAGACAATGATTCACTAGCTAGTTTAGCTTCTTGCTCAATAAGTAAAACCAATTCAACCAAGTACTTTTGATTGACATAAATGCCACCATGAGGCAGCTTCCTGTTAACAAGACCATTTAACTTGCTTGGAGGTTATTAGTTCTGTGTCACAACCTGACTATTAATCTATATTTAACTTTGAGAAACACGTATCATAAACTACCAAATAAATCAAATTTGTTTCATTGCTTGATCTGTCTCTCATTCAGGTGTAGTCTCCCGGTTGTGTAGCCCTCAATCCTGATGCACTACCGTTTCTTAGAATTCCAGAAACTCTAGATATTTCACAACAGACTTAATCAAGATACCAAACAAAATTTGTATTTTTTTTTTTGTTCTGGACAATAGATTAACCTTCTTAGAACATATGCTGTGGATTAGAAGTGAACTGCCTCTTATTTATTGAACAGATTGAAACCAAAATTGCTGCATTGGGAACTCTCTTTTAGGAAGGATGAAGCACTATCCACCAAGCAACAAATGGCCTGTAGTCTGATTACTCTTGGTCCTGGTGCAACATTGAAACCTACCTCTTGCAGGGAACTTGTGGCGCAGTGACTATCTCGGGACTAGAGGGCTTGGGTTCAAGTCTCACCTGCTCTAGAAGTATCACAAATATCTAAACCTACGTCAATATCTCAAACACACTGACCTTCTAAAAAAAAAATCCCATTCATCAAACCGGAAGAGGAGTTTGAGGGAAAGATAACACCAATGAATGATAATTATAAACAAGATTTACATTTTTTTGTTTATTTAAAACAACAGCATTATTCTAATTTCTTTATCAACCAATTCAGAACAGCCCTGTCAGAATACACAGTGAAATGACAGTGTAGGAGCAAACAAATATAAAATGGCACAGGCATTTGAAATCTGAAGTGTTTCCTTATCCCTCCCAAAACAGAAGCTGATTGTTGCAAAATATATCATGTGTGGGTCACTTAGTTGCAACATAGACAATAAAGCTGCAGTTAAAGATAATTAAAATACATGTAATTACATATTTACATCTTTAAAGTTACGATAGCTAAATACAAACTGGACAGAAAGCAGTTTCACAGTAACTTCAGACACTGAATATTAAAGCTGTCTCCTTCACGACAGGCCACCGACTCCAGCAAACTCTGCTTTTTCTGTGTACTGCGAGATGATTCAAGCTCATACATAGTGGTCAGGTTAAAAAGAACACTTTCATGCAGGTAGTGTTTGGGATCCTGCTGTACGAGCCCTTCCAGCTGCCTCAGGGAGTCCTTCAGTTTTCCCAAGTACAACAAGCAAACGGCTGCATTATTATTTGCCTAAAGAAAAACATGTGAAAATGACAGGAACATGCCTAATGATTGATTTAATTAATGAGCTCACCCGCAGCTGTGTCCCATTGACCTAGCTGCTTTATCATTTAGTCTAAAAAGTTATTTTGTCAGAACGTTCTCAGATTTTATTTTCATAATTTCAGCACAGAATGAAGCCTTTTAGCCTAATACCTCAGAGAGCTCATCACATTCTTTTGCGCTTCCCACATTCTGTTGGATTTTTTTAAAAAAACATTTAATTCTCTTTAAAATGTTGTAATTTTATGGTTTCAACAGTCACTTACTGAAATGGAAGTAATAGTTGAATAATTGGGGGTCAGAGCAACATTTTAATTGTTTTAAATTAATGCTAGAGGTTCTTATAATCTTATGCTATTGAAAGTATAAATACAGTAGAAATCAGATTCCCAAAGTGGCCAAAATGTGCAATATAGCAAGATGATTTACAGGCTGATGATATTCCTTACCACACACAAGGGAAGTTGGGGGAATTTTGGTGTGAAACGTGCAGAAATGGAAAGAGTTTACGGAGTATAGCGGTTTTGCAGAAGGGACAAAAGGATGTAAAATGGCCTAACATTTCAGGGGATTGGAAGAAGGCAATAGATGAAAAAAAAACAAACTGGGGAAGATTTTCCCCCCCCCCCCCCCCGAGGTGGGGGGTGAGATGAAAGTGGAGTTTATGGCACTTTACCCAAAGAAGAGCAGGCATATTTGGCAATAAACAGAGAAATGAAGTAATTCTTAACTTGAAACCAGATGTGTTGGTTGAGGTTTAGCACTGGGTAAATGCACAGTCGAATACCAAGGAGCTAGATGGTGACAACCTCTTAGGGACAATTTTACCTCAATTGTCAGCCAGTTGGATCAAAATTACAGAATCTCCGACAGGGGTTTTTCACTAAAAAGTATACATTTGGAAATTGAAAGATCATAGATCTACTGTGTGGAAGTAGACCATTCCACCCATTAAGTCCACACCGAATCTCCAAAGGGCATCCCACCCTATCCCTGTAATTCCCATGGCTAACCAACCTAACATTCACATCCCTGGACACCACAAGCAATTTAGCATGGCCAAGCCGCATAACCTGCACATCTCTGGACTATGGGAGGAAACTGGAGCACTGAGAGGAAACTGACGCAGACACAGGGAGAACTCCACACAGACAGTCAGCAAGGCTGGAATCAAACCCGGATCCCCTAGCGCTGTGAGGCAGCAGTGCTAGCCACTAAGCCACCATGCTACCCTTGGAATTGAGATATGAACACATAAGCTAGCTCAAAAACACATGTCATGGAAGATATAACATTTCCTGCTATACAAACATTATGGATTTGCCGGTGGGAACATGTAAAAATAATCCCAAGTCTATGGGAAAACCGACAACTGAAAGCGACTGAACAAGGTCACTATATCTATGAAAATATTAAACGACACTCCATAGACTCTTACCACTGGATTGCTCGGGTCTAATTTGGTAACTTCAGTGAAGAACTTATGGGCTTCAGCAAAGTTATTTTGACCAAGATGGAGGAATGCCCTAAAAAAAATTAACATCTTTAGTGCTTTTGTTATTCGTGCTAAATAACTTACAGTCAAAATATAACAAAATCAGAACAAATAAAACCAGATAAAATGAAATGCTCTAACAAGTTATGCTTAGCATTTTTGCCAGGTGCATGGAAGGGTGGGGCTGGGAGGAGCTGGATCTATCTTATAGTTTCCATTTTTGTTATATGAAGAAAATCATAGTTGCATACTTTTTGCAATTCCCAAACACTTTTCTTTTGAGTGCATGGGCGAGGAATGCAATATAGTTTTGCAGATTTTAGTGCAAAAGTGCATTAAAAATTAAGCACTCTTTGGGACTTGAATCATGCCAATATTCAGCCCATATTCATATGATTATCACTAGCCATGCCCTGTTGTACATAGCTGTCACCATGTTTTAAATTTGACTATTAAAATAGAAAATACACAAGGTTGTGGAGGATGATTCCAACTGAGCATGCAAAAATGTGGTTTAGGAGGAGCTGACTCCTCTGGGATGGGTAGGTAGCCAGAAGTTGTTTACTTCAGCATTTGGCCATCAAACCAATTAATCCCTTTTGCAGGTTTCCTTCCCCCTCCTTCAAAACTCCTAAAAAAGAGAAACTTGTATCACACATACAAAACCATGTTGGAGGCGGCTTCTAAAACCCCTCAAAACATTCTAGTCTGTGGGAGCAGAATTCTGTAATTATGTACCAAAAATCTGCATTACTTCGTAGGCAGTCTTTTCCTACGGAGACAGCCAACTGATATGCTGCTACCACATTATTCTGTTTTTAAAAAAAACCTGATTGGAGATGTGTCAACACCGTCTGGACCCTGCCAGCTCCAGCCTAATGAGATTGAATTCTGTCAGGAGCCTGCAGTTAGAGACTTAACTTTTACCTCTCTGTAGTGAGTCACATGCAATATATACCAATAAACGGTCTTGTCTTCCCTTTGTAATGCATTTCAGTGAATTATTGAATAAAATCTCAAACATTGCAGTTCTAATTAACATGTGCTTAAACTTTGAATATCTTCAAACTAGAATGTACATACAAGTGTTGGTTGCAAGTGAGGGTTTTAAAAAAAATGATGGAACAACAAAAAGTCACTAAAATTGAAATGTTTAACAAGAAATACATTAACATTAAAATATAACTACAGAAAACAAAATGGACTGCATCTACTCAGGACTGCAATCAAATATATAAAAGTTTATCGAACGAACGATCGATCAAATTTGAAGAGGCCAGAAGATAATAACTGAAAAGCATAAATACACAAGCATTAGTTATGATCAACTCCATCAAGGTTATGATATAGCCTGTTGTCAAACTACTAAGTCCTACTAAGGACAATGGGATGTGTCTTGTAAAATGTGACCTGCCCTCTCTGAACCACTAGGCTGCTGTATAATCTCTTTCCTATGGTTACCTATAGACAGGTTACCAATGACCAGCAAATTAATGCCTCTAATTCTGCAGTAGTAAAAGCAGCAAGGCTGTTAACACTCATCATTATTAAACAGTTGAATGGCAACTTCAGGCATCTGCATGAGTAGTTAGAAGTGGAAATCAAGAAGTTGTTTCTCTGCTTTTCCCTGCTACTTCACAGCCTTTGCTATTATACCTCAGAGATTCAGACTCAAAATTCAATCAAATAAAGGGTGTGAAATTGCAGCATTCACCTACTAGTCACGCACTAAAAAGGCTAGAATTAAAGCTTGTTCATCCACTTCTTTTTTCAGTGTATGGGAGTCCCTAAAATATCAAAGATCCGACTTACAACTGCTCGTATTTATGAGCACAATCCTATACAGAGATGACATTTTCAAGATTCAACATACAAGCATTTCTTGTACTTACAAATGGCTACTTTACAAGGGTGCACAAATCAACCCGTGAGTGGACTCAAAAACGGAACCTGTTTGCAACCTGGGACTGCCTGTACAATGAATAATTTCTCCTCAAACAGTCTATGTGGTGCTGAAAATTAACTTTTATTTAGATTCTTCCAGATTTAAAACAAAATAAAAAAATCACATTTTGTCTCATTTTTCCCAAACCCGACGTTTTCTGTGCATAATTTTACATTGTATCGAATATTCCTACACTCACGTGCTGGATTAGATTATAATGTTGAAAGATTCATCAATCCACTTGGTTGAACAGACTCAAATTGCCTCATTATTTACCTGATCTCCGATTCCTGTATCATACTTCTGATTACCATGGCTTACAACACAAATAGCCCATGAAAGCTCTGGGCTAGATGCAGTAATAATGAATAATGACAGCCACTCATTCGCCACTGACTGCAAAATCCAGACCAATACATCTTCCACTGGAGGTAGATTTTGACCCTGTGAACTGCGCCATCAGCATCTCTTGTTGAAGTATTGTAAGTTGTTTCGCATATTCTAAATACTTAATACAGGGGTGTGGAATATGAAAGGATAGCACCCAGTAGGGTGAAATTGAATCTACATATTTGAAGGCACACCTTGTTGGGACTTACCTGTTCATTTGAATGATTACATTCTGTTGCAATTCATTTCCTAACTTTGGAGATATTTGCTCAACTTCTTGAAAATATTGCTCAGCTGTTTTGATGTCACCAATCTAAATACAAAGAAGTACAACACTGAAGTATACAATGTAGTTTACAACACACACAAACACAGGTTAAACAGTTTTGACTGTTTAGTGTCTCACAACCCAGTACAAACGGCTGTCCATCTCTACATTGCCACCCTAGTCTACATATGTAAACAGCTTCCTGTCTGAAATTGGGCATGTACAACACTACTTGAAGATTGCACTTGGTGGGCCTTAATATTCCTCTGACTGTCCATTGATCAGATAACAAAGGAAAAATAGCCCCTGCTGCCTCTGATCATCCTGCTCCTTAAGTTCAATGGCACTGAATTATCTAGAGACAACCAAAATATGTGCCACAATATAATGACTTAAATGATATTCAAGAATCCCTGCTGGCTGCGTTAAATAGGCAGTGGGCTGTTTGTTCAAACAAGAGGCCTAATGATAAATTAAGGACCCTTGCTTTGGAAACTAGTCAGAAATTGAGATGTTTTCTCTGCAGCTTAAAAAGGAGCTCTTAATGGAGAGTGCCCTCCCAACTTAGGAATGGCGGCTGAGAGCATAGAACTAGCCTGCACAAACAACTTCCAGTGTCACCTGAATCTTGATAACATTAGGAAATGCAATGTTTCAGCTAACAGATCTTGTGCTTTGACTGGGTGTTTAGAAATTGACAGTGATTAACAGGGCTTGAAATATTCACTTTTCCCTTCATGTACTGCACTATCCAAAACACAAAACTGATAGGTTAATTACTACCTTGTCCATTGTTAGATGACTACAGACAAATAATATCCTATTCAGACTGTTCTTTAACAAAATTACTGTTTTAATGCAATATTCCCTGCTTGCAGCAACTGACCAAAGCAGCCGTAGAAATACTGTGATGTTATGTAACGATTTTGCATATGCATGGATTATTCTTCACTTTGCAGTGGGGTTGGCCGTAAACACAGCCGTCCCTTAAACAGACTGCTGGAAGCTATCAATGCAAAAGGTAATTTTTAAACCTTCCATTCCACGGAGCCACTAGGGGCTTGAGTGCTTAGGTTAACTTCATAGCACCACTGCCTGCTCCTGCCATTTAACGTCCACCTGCCCAGCACTCCCCCGACGCTGACCATTCACCCTCTCCATATAACAGGCCCAAACCAGTCTATCAGAAATCACTGATATAACAAGGTGTAGAGCTGGATGAACACAACAGGCCAAGCAGCAGAGGAGCAGGAAGGCTGATGTTTCGGGCCTAGACCCTTCTTCAGACCCTTCCTGCTTGGCCTGCTGTGTTCATCCAGCTCTACACCTTGTTATCTCAGATTCTCCAGCATCTGCAATTCCTACTATCTCTATCAGAAATCACTGCTGTCTCAAGAGGCTCAAAAGGCACTTGCAACTCACCAGAATGTTACTGCTGAGACTACAGGCCCAATTGACCAAGTCTTGGGTTTCTGATGCAAATACCTAAACTAATGCTACTGCCCTCACTCTCGCTTTGTCATCGACATCTTTACGCATTTTGTTACACTGCATCACACATGCAATATACCTAATGCATTATGACAGGAAAGTGGTTTGTTAGCTTTTACCCGAGAAAAGTTGAGGTTTGATTTTATTTTGAACTCATGAATTCAATTGCTGTAATTCCACAACTATTCAGCAGTCTAAGAAGGTCAATGTGAAAACTGAAGTGTTGGAAATTTAAAATGAATACTCAATTAAGTAGTGAAGCGTAGTAATGACAAATAATTTTCCATGACTTTTGTGAGGCTCAGTAGAAGAATGTGAAAACAGTAAGAAATTCTGAGTTGATGTTCTTTCATAGACTCATTATTGAACCGTCATTTTGTACTTCATGGTTTTATCAGTTGCTTTAACGACAATGCATCACAAATAAAAATAATTCCAAGAACACCAAACCCTTTTGTAATTAGTAGACATTAATGTAAAAGGATAATGAAAAATTATAACTTCTCTTTCGGCCACATGCTCTAAAGAAACCAACAACAGTTGTTGGCAACAAATTAAGAATCAAGAAATAAAAAACAGCTGGGAAAAGGAGGAGGAAAACACTGGAACTTGTTCCAAATATGTACTATGGTGCAACAGAAGTACGCTTGTGACCTCAGTCTCTTCATTGTCCATACCAGCCATTCTTATGGCAGCTCTGTGTATGACTGCCTGTTTAGCACAGAATTATTGGCAGTTTGGTGCTGTGGAACTGAACTCAACTTCCTAAACCATCTCTGCTTAGAAACTTTACTGCTGTCAGGGAGATAATTTTCATCAGGGGTACATTCAAAGCCAGACCTCAGAGGAGAATCAAGAGCATTCCAACTCACTACGCCGTTAAAAAAAAAACACACCGGCATAATTGTGTTTTTGCCAGTGTTTGCTTCACTGACGCATTGTAGAAACGTTTTGGGCCTTTATAAAATTTTGTTTTGATGCAATAAATCTGCAGCCTAGCTTTGTGTAGGAGTAATAACACTAAATTATTTAGTTACAGCTTGCTGCATGGAGATCAATAACTCTCATATTCACAGCTGCACCCAGAATACAGTGCGCCTATAAACATGAAGCATGTTGGTGAGAGAGTGCTTCTAGACATAACGGTCACTTATCAACCCTAGATGCTGAAAATGTAGGACAGGTACATGTTCATAGCTCTAAGCAATATCCTACATATTTTTCTTTTTTCTACAGTATAAGCTTATTTTTGATTTCCTTTTATTTAAAAGCTACAGGTTATTTTTAACCCAGTGTGCCTATATTTTTAATATGCATCAAGTATACGCTTGGTTGCTTTAATTTAGATAACAGGTGCTCCACAGCAACATGGTTCAAGAAGATTAAAAAAAAAAGGGTTTATGAAAGTTCCAAACATAGTGTAAAAAAACTTGGTTTAAAAATAAAGGATTGTATTTTCTTGCACAGTCTACCACTCTGCCTTTATTTTGTACCACAGAAGAGCTCTGCATTTTTGACAGGAGATTCTGATTAAGGCTACATCAGAAATGCAGAGCTGTACATCCATTCTGACAGATCCCTCGAGGTGGGAAAGAGTCATGGGAAGGCAAACCATGTCCCTTTTTTCACAGTATTCAGCGGTCATATTCTGAAATTAAAAAAAACAGTATCGCACAGACAGCTGTTGTCAAAGCAGAAATACAGCAAGTGAGAGTAGGCTGCCAGGACGCAAGGGGATCAGGTAGCTGATGGAGTGTGCACAGTAGCTCAGGGCGTGTTGGTGGAAAATCTAGGGTACGGCATGGCTCGGAGATCCATTGGATCTGGTGGCAGTGCAGGTAGTTGTGGGCCCAGCAAGGGAAGATCAGGTCCTAATTATGGAGTCTGCTGCTCGGAGTTGGGGATTGAGGATGAGGGGAATACCAGGCCCTTTGGCAGGGCATGTTAGGCCCAGGAGGAAAGAATTAGGAACTGGCTCTTAAGGGTGTATGGGATCAGTTGAATGAGTTAAACTAGGCATTTAATAGTCAGAAGTTCAGAGACTGATATGCAACACATCATGTGAAGCACCTGGTCTCTTCTGTATTGGATCTCGATTGATCAATAAAAGCAGCAGAAAAATCCAATAGCCAAGTTCTCTTTCATGCTCACAAGACTGGCAGAGGGATTCTTCATTCTAATCTTGTGAATCAGCAACCCATGGAAGAGAAAGGATACGGCATGCAAAAGCTGCTTGTCATAGATGGATGGGATATCTTATGCCATCATCTTGGGAGCAACAGAATTCTGGCAGTCTCCTTGTTATAATGTCTCTTGGATGTTGAAGGAAGCTGTAAGAGCAGCCCATGTTTGAAAGACACAGAATGGCTGACAAGCATGAAAATAAATGTTAGAGCAGGCTGTCCCATTTTAAGTGAAGGCCTTTGATCAGGGCTACTCGAGACAGTTTTGCTAAGAGGAGGCCTAAGCAGATGAGCGATTGATTCTTGCCTCATTAATGAAAGTTTGACTGTCCCAGTAAATTAATAACACCAGGTGTCAGTCTTAACCCACGAACCAGCCAGATTAACTCCCTAAGCGGCTGCAAAAACAACAGCTAAGGATATTTTGTAACTTTTTTTAAAGTTACCAATAACATTAAGAAATAGGTTCTAGTTAAAGATTCTTTAGATAATCACTGGGGGAAGTTTCAACATAGGGATAGGTACACGTATATCTAAATGTATAATGGGACCATTAGGGGAAAAACATCTAAACATAGATGTGAAAGTTAATTAGATGCCTGGTAAGCCCTGAACGAGATAGAGCAGTCACAACTTATTAATTACAAAGTGCTAACAGAAGTAGTTGCATAACAGAAATTAATATTACAAATGTTATAGCAGTTAGTTAACACTAACATTTTTGTGTTTTTACATATATAATTGGGACTGTGAGAAATATGAAAGGAATGACTGAATTTGGTAAGGCAGCACATGGAATACAATGAATAATATAATTCAAGCAGCCCTGAGAGATAAGCAATCTAGTACAGGTCAGAAGGAGTATAGCTAATAACTTTTGGAATGTGAATTGATTGGATGCATAGAAAGATTCCAAGGCATAGAGATTTCAATGTCTGGTAAATACCATAAGATCATGGGAACCTGGGGCTTTCCATTGGAATGCTCATCGTTTATTAGATGTCTCACGGGATCGGGTGTATGGACTTAGGGGGAAGGACAGTGACTATGCTGTATTCGATCATCGTAATGAAAAATGTATAAAAATGCTGTATGTCAGCATAAAAATTAGACTGTGTCAATGATCTCTCTTCTGATCCGAGCCAAAAATTGATGGAAAAATTGCTTTCTCAGATCAAGGCCAGATTCGGAGAAGATCTTTTGGCCCTCTCCCTGCATCAACTAGTTTTTGCTTGAATAAACGTCTTCCACTTCCACTTGCCTGAATCCTGCCTGCCTCCTGAATCTTTGTCCCCAGTGGGAGGGTACACTCCTACAGAAACTATTCAGCCCATCATGTCTGTGCTAGCCAACAAAGATCTGACTACACTTGTTCTATTTTCCAATTTTTGGCTCATAACCCTGGAGGCACTAATTAATCACATTTGATTTAAAAAATTAATTCCTGTAAGTGAGGGTTCCATTGTCTGATGCTTCTAATGGGATTGAAAATCAAAATGCCATTGTGCACTAATTATGTGTAATAGTATCAACACGAGGGTTGAAATATCATAGTTCACAAAATGTCTGCAAACTGAATATGTATTGAGCAGGCCAATCTAGACTGAGAGAAATCTGCAAGTAATAACTAAAGTCTGTGCTGGGTTCCTAATGGAATTAAGGTTAGTTTTAGCATGCTCAAGTTAACCAGGCCTAAAAGGTTTTAGTGTTAATCTGTTAACAATTGAATTGGCACAGAGCAAAGCTGATTTGTGACTGACAGCCCCAGAACTGTAAGAGCAGAAATAAAATCAATAATTGGCTATAGGCTTTTTTGACCATTTGGCGACTAGGGATTTACAATTATAAACTTATATTGGTCTGCCTGCACAATGTCAATTGGTCAAAACCACCAGACAGTCTCGAAGCTCGACTCCACAGTACAGGCTTAGCACACAAGATTTAAATAATGTTGACCAAACAGCCAATACTGCTTTCTTATGCATCATAAAGAGTAGGTGAGGTTTGCAAATTGCGGACCTTCGTCATCCAAGAATTTCTGGGAGATTTGCACTGCTGCAGTGAAGTATCCATGGCATTGAATTTTTATGGAGTGCATCAAACCCGTTCTACACCATGTTGTAGAATGAATCAGAAAAGCTAAGTGGGATACATACTGCTCAGATACCAACCAACTGCAGGAGAAGCTTGTTTAAAGAAGCCACTAAAGGTACCTAAATATTTGTCTGAGCCAAAACAGCATCAGAAATACTGCAGACAGCCCTGGGACTCAGGAAAAGCTCTATTTTCAATCCAACCAACGGGAAATGAAAGAAAACGTACTCCACTGCAGTTTGTGTAATTTGAAATGGAGTAAACTGTAGCCTAATGCAGATTGTGTCAATTGAGGAATTTCTGGGCCATGGTACTGAATGTTGCTCAGATTAGCCATTTACTTGTTACATATTGAATAAATTGCCTGAAGGTTTACAGTCTAAGCTTCAACCTAACAACGTACTGGCTAGTCAATCTGTCAAAGATTGGAAAGATTCAATGATACATGACAATAGGTTTATAAACAGGCCCACTGGCAATTTATGTAGACACTGGTTGAGGAGGCACGAGATCCATTTAGGAAGCGGCAGGTAAAAAAAAATTAAACAACAACTACTTTGAATTGGTTTGATTTTATTTTGAATTTATTTCTTTTGAGTATTCTGCTGTGTGACATCTCTTGCCTCCCTTCTCCTGACAAATTCCAGTGGGTAATTATCATCCGATAGAAAAAATTCTCATCTCTGAAGTAAATGAGACCCACTTCGTTACACAGCCTCTCTTACAAGGGGGTACATCCTCTCAGCATCCGCTCATCAAGTCCACTCTCTTAGGTATTTCAAGATCAGATTTCTTTTTCTAAACACTAATGGACAAAGGCCCAACCGTTTCTCATAATCCCATCATCGTAGGAATTAGTTATCTTAAGTGAACTTTTGCTGAACTGCTTCCAATGGCATTATATCCTTTTTTAAATAGGAGAGCAGTACTCTAGACATGGTCTCATCAACACCTTATACCTCTGTAACAAAACATCCTTACCTTTATTTTCTATTCCCCTTGTGACAAACAGTAACAATCCTTATGCCTTCTTCATCATCGGCTGTACCTGGATACTAATCCTTTAGGATTCATGTACCAGAGCAAAAAGATCCGATGTATCAAGATTGAGTTACAACTTAAATATACTGCTTTTCTAATCTCCGTCAATGGGGATTACTTCACATTTTCCCCAGATTATACTCCTGCCGGTAATATTTTACCCCGTCTCTTATCTGATCCAAACTTTTTTGCAAACTCCATGTTCCCTCACCAACATATTTTACCCATCTTTGTCTGATCTGCAAATTTACCAAACATACATTCTCTCTCTCTCTTCATCCACGTCATGTATATAGATTTCTACCAGTGACCTATACTTTCTTGCTAGGCCTGGTCACGGCTGTAACCAGACGCTGGAAATACGCTTTAGGTGAACATTATTCCAGAGTTGGCACTGGTTGAGATAAGGAGAGAGATAGATATCAGTATGGGGTGAGTGAAAGGGAGAAACGAATAAAAATAACCCAACACAGTGAGAGAGAAGGGATAACACATTACCAGTGAGATCAGCATCAGACTACAAGGCAAAAGAAAACAGAAATAGGAGAAGAAAAATTGCCAAAGAAATTAAGTAGGATCTGCTACAAAACAAAAAAAAAAGGGACAGGGAGTGGACTAACATTAAGAGTTGGATATAATACTGTTTAGCCTACATTTTCAAAATAAAATGGGTGGGCAACAATAAACCTGGAGGGATTAAAAAGTCACAAATCAAGGGAAATCAACACAGTTGGGCTGTTCTGATGAAAGGCCATTTCTATCTGAAACGTTAATTTGGCAGCCTGACCTGCTGAGTATTACCAGCATTTTGTTGCTTCTCTTTCAGTTGGAATAGATGGAGAGAAATTGAAATGGGATAAAAATACGTAGGAAAGTTTGGGAATTAGATTATTGTAGAGATATGTACAGACTCCAAGATCAAATGCACATGACACTAACGTGAGAGAAAGAGATGTACAATATCAAAACAAGTTTGCTATCTTCAATTTAAGCTCTAGCATGCTGTGGTCTCTTTTCACCTTTCCAGTTCATCTACATTTTTCCCTTGATCTTCATTCTCTACTTAAGCGACTTTTGTTTAAAATTGTACCTCTTTAGCCATCTTTCACTATAGTCTTCCTTTTAAGCTTTCCTACAGAGAACCGATAAGAAATCTATCTTAAACTCGACTTTCTACATTATTGAATATTGCTCGGTCACCTTGCTCAAATCATTTAGTCTACTGGCCCCAATTTGACATCCAAAAATACCTCTCATTGCATCTTTACCTCACACCCTAATTGCATTACTGTTGTGTAACAGTACTATGGAGTAAACCATTTCTGCCCGATATTCACCTCACTTTCACTTTTCTCTGTTCTGCCCCAAAGCAGAGATCAAAACAAATTTGTAGGCTAACAAGTACAGAGATGGAGTCATAAAATTTACATGCTTCTGTATTAATTTATTGATTTGCTGCTGTCTGCTTGTGCATGAATTTATTCAGTGGTGGCAAGTAATCTATTAGATTATTAATTCACTCACGCCTGCCTTTGCAGCAATGTCCAGCAGTATTTCTTACACCGTCAGTGAACTGTCATATATTTGACATGTATTTTTTGAGCACATTTGATTTTTTGCCTTCTAGAATTTTATAATTCAAACAAAACAATTGCAATTAAACTTCTCTACTATGTTATGTTTTAATCTTCATGCTGTTTCATAGCTATCGTCGTTTCTCAACTATTTTAGAGCTGACTGTCATTACATTGTTTGGAACATTAGTATAAAACATTTTCAGAAGATATAGCTCGATTTCCCTATACTAGCCACAGAATATTGATTAGTTTATTACAAAATTCCCTAAGTTACTGCTTCAGTAAACAAGGTTAAAGGATGAAACATAGGACAATCTCCCGATTGTGACTTCTTCCATTGATCATACCTGCAAAAGTAGCCTTCCTATGCCACTGAGAAGCTGAGGCTCTTGTTCTGGTTGGTATTGGATGACTGAGTGGTACATATCAATTGCAAGTACATAATCCTGATAAAGAGGGAAAAAGAAAGTAAACAACTTGCTCAGTTTAACATCATAAATCCAATTACCAACTTTAATAGCTGCAATGCCTTTTACAAAAAGAGAAAAGGAACCCATTTTAATTTTCTGAAAGAATGGTATGAATTGGCCTTGTGTGCACAATATTTATGACACAAAGGGCCATTTGTGCATGGCATATGAGTGCGACCACAGAATTATGTCCAAAAGCAGTGAGCACCTTTAGAAATATGGGGAGGAAAGGGAAGACAATGAGAAATATGATAAGCAGAAACACAACTGAGAAACACCATATTTGAAGCAGAAATCAATGCAGTACAAGGCAAAGGTACTTGTAGAAAATATCTGGAAGTAAATACCTAGTTTAAAATTAACGGGAAAATTGAATAGTGGCTTCCATTTAAAGCTTGATAAAGTGAACGACTCAGAGTGTGGCACAGGTCAGTTTTGTCTACCCAAGAGGGCAAAGAAGGTCTTGATGCAATGTTTGATCACTAGAAAAAGACGTGAGAAGCCAGAAGTTCTATGTACACAGGATGTCAGACATGGAATAATTGAATCGAATGTTTAGATACATACATTATAACATCCTTTAATAAGGGCATTGTTTGAAGTGTATGGAAATCAAAGATATGAAGAGAACACAGGAATGAGAGATTGAGATCAGAGTGTACAGTTTCAGATGAAACTTAGTAGGAGAACAGAGGCTCAAATTTTTTCCTTCTGTGCTGCAAATTCCATTGTCCTTTGTTTCGTTTACTAGGGTTCTCTTCGGACCCAACATCACATTTAACTTATTCATTCCACTTAAAAGATTTCATCCCCACATATTTCCTTGTAGTTGAACAACACTTTATTTTCGTTTTATTTCCAATTTAATTGCTTAATCCAGCTATTTTGGAGATTACACGCCCAAATTAAAATTTGCAAACATAACAGATTTCTATTTTTGCCTCAAAAAGGAGCTTGCTCAGCAGAATATCACAATTAATTTCTTATTCCTCTGAAACTTACATTCCTGAAATTATATGCTCTGTTGTGGTGAACACAGACAGCTTATGGTGAGATAATCTTAAATTTAATCACATTATAATTCATAGTGCCCAGGCAATCTGTATTATGGATATTTTGTGCACTGTATGGCTATGAAGTGACATGTCCCGTCACCTTTCAGGTACCTCCATGAAGCATTCCTTGAAGCCATTCCCTATTCTACCTGACCACATAATTATCTAGTTGAATAAACTGCTTACAGTCAATACATAAATTACAGACAAACAACATTAACTTATACTTACTTTGCATTTTCTCATTCCATAACATCCCAAAGCTCTTCACAGCCAATGAAATATTTCTGAAGCTTAATCATTGTTGTAATTGTAAAGTCCACACCTGGACCACAGACTATTTCCTAATTAGAGAGTGACAAGTAATGGTAGTTTCACCGGAGAGTCACCACACCTCAAGCTAGGGGAGATGTTGAGAAAGAGAGTCCTTCATGGTAATTTTAGCCAGTATTGGAATTGAACCATGCAACTGGTGTCACTCTGTATTGCAATAATTACAACCATCTTCCTCTATGTTAGGCATGACTTGAGCCAGCAGAGATTTCTCTGATTCTCAGAATCAAAGACCACGGAAACTGGCCCTTTGGCCCTCCATGTCTACACCAACCAAAATACACCAAAACTACACAAATCCCATTTATCTGCACTTGGCCCATATCCTATTATGCCCTGTCGTTTTAATTACTCATCCAGCTACTTAAAATGTTGCAAGAGTACTGTCTCACCACCCTCTCAGACAGCACATTCCATAAATCTACACCCCTTGGATGGTAAGATTTTTCAGATCTCCTCTAAACCATTTGCTCCTCACCTCTGGTCTTAGACATGTCTGCCATGGGAAAGAGATCTACTTGTTTATGCATCTCAATTTTGTATATGTCCATTGGATTCCCCCTTAGCCTCCTCTATTCCAAGGGAAACAAACCCAGCCTTCCTCATTTTTCATCCCAACTCAGTGACTGCAGTTTTCTCAGAACTCTATTCATTCTGCTTGTCCTTTAGGGATTTGGCAAATCTCAGACTAACCAGCATAAGAACGCTATAATGTGTCTCAAAGGCCTTAAGCAACCAAATTACTGGATGCACTGCTTTGAGAAAAGACCAGTATTAGGTTCGACTGAAAAACTAGCATTTATTTTCTGTCAATAATCACATTAAATGTCCGCATCTGAAAGTTTCAACATCTTAATAGTGTACAATTCCAGAGTCACAAGTTCAGTAACTAAGTAGTCATTCTTTACATTCAAACCTACACTGCAAGTTTCAGTAAGCTATTCAATTGTATGGAACCATTCAGAATTACAAGTGCAGAGACAACTGTGGTAACTTTAACAATGCCCTATCCTGACCAAGATTAGTTAACACCACAAATCTAAGTTAAATGTGACCTTCCTGTTGAATATTATCACATTACTTGTGCAACAATCTGAATCATCAGGATAAATGAATAACAAAGCTTTATATTGTGTTAAAACCTTTCTAGAGACGTCAAAGCCCACTTCAGCTACAAACATTGGTGGCCATTATGACCTTAATCTGTGGACAAAACTACATAAAGAACGTATACACAATTCATAGTATACCCACTAACATGGTTTACCTGCAAAGTTCCAGAAATTAGTCCAACATCATGAGGGTGCTTATTAACTGTTAATAAAGTCAAGACTTATACTGCTGCTTTTTAGCCTCCAAAGTTTTAATGTTAAATTAAATTTTAAAATTAAAATTCAGCCACAAAGTTTTTCTGATGCAGCCAGTCAGCTGCCATTATACTGTTCCGTTGTGCGCGTGTCATGATCTCAAAAGTCTTCCTTTGTGATTACTACATGTTTCTCCCAATTCACTTTACTAAAGTCAGACAACTACAGAAGCTCCCAAAAATATATGGGGTAAAGATTCTCCTATGCCTCAGAAGGCAAATGTATTATTTGCAGGATGAAACGGTCAACAGATCTGGGCTTGATCGCTAAATTTGCTGACTTAGCTGACTTCCAAACAGGTGCTGGAGTTTCATGGGGAAAGAACAGGTGGAAATCATGAGTCATTCTCACAGAACTCCAGTAACTGCTATTCGGAAACGTGTTAAAACAAAGTCCAAATGAATTCATTGAGACAATCAGAGGTAGGAAGAACAGCAAATGCTGGAGCCAGAGACAACACAGTATGGAGCCGGAGGAACATAACAGGCCAGGCAGCATCAGAGGAGCAAGAAAGTTGACGTTTCGGGTCGGGACCCTTCGAGTCCTGACCTCTGAAGAAGGGCCCTGACCTGAAACATCCACTTTCCTGCTCTTCTAATGCTGCCTGGCCTGCTGCATTCCTCCAGCTCTTTACTGAGACAATGCTAGTTGTAATGCTTACATAAACAGCAGAGGGTGATGTTTTACACAATAATAAATTGACCTATATAAACTTGCACTGATTTTATGCTGAATACCACAGCTGGCATCCTGACATGGTACACATTCGTAGCATTTCTAATATGAAAATCTGGAATCTGGCAAAGAGACACTTTAGAATACATGCCCTTTCAACTGAATAATTGGACTGGCTGGGTTCTGAGGTACCATTGCTAAATGTTGCTGTGTAAAGTAGATTGAGTTCGTTTCCCTAAACAAAGCTAGCTTACCTAATTAGTTAGCAATGTTTGCTTATCTGGTTTTACAAAAAAAACGTTTTGTGCTTCTTCTCTAGTCATCTTTAAATTATTAAATAGTATCCCATAGCTATACATATGATATGAATGTTTAAGAATAAAGCAGCTCATTAAATAAGACCAAAAAATAATCCATGGAGTCTAGATATCTTAATTCAATCAAAGCTTTAAAAATGATCTGAACAGCAAGCATTACCATATCCTTCCTATGGTTCCCCCACCTCCAAAATATTTAATTTTTTTTTTCAGTAAATAAGACAATCACAATCAATTATGCATTTGGTCAAGCAAGGTACTCAGGATCATTCATCATTGATCATCTATTGTGGTACTGAGTATTGGTTCTGTGGTTAATGCTTTATTAGAAAAAGTGAATGCATTTTTCCAGAACAGGACATTTTCTGATTTTAAAACAAGTTATGTACATTTCAAAACAAGACATTTACATGTGGAAACAGATACTGACTTCAACCTGCGTGTATGGTTTCAAGCCACTATACATCCCCAGTTCTTCTACCTCCAGCAATTTACGCTGACAGAAATTGATTAAACTGTTGCAATGTCTATAGTGGTGCTCAGATTATAAGGTACATACGGTAATTCTGCAGCTCACAGCCACCCACGTACCTTCATCATCAGCAGGCAGTTTGCCATGGAGTACATCATACGCCCCAGACGTGACCTCCACAACTGCATAGAGGCTGCAAGACACAGGAGCATCTCATGAAGATATGGCACACAAATAATTGTTTTTTTGTTGCTGGCTTCATTGCTTCAACGCACTCTTGTCTCGGCCAATGCATGATATTAATTCACAATTAATTTATCATTATTATATCCAAGGGGGAAAAATCCATGTTTCTCCCCTGCAAAAGAACAATAGATCAACACACAGATTTATAATGGCAATGTGGCCTTCTGTGCAGTCCATGTAAAATTTCCTTTAAAAATCACTTGGTTGCCATAAGACTATCTGCTGAGTCAGAATACAAATGATTGAAATTCTGCCACTCGATTCATTTCATGACAATAATAATACATTTTGTTTTTAAATTCTATTGATAAT